AATAATAATAATAATAATAATATTAGTAGTAGTGCTAGTAGTAGGAGTAGTAGTAGTAGTAGTAGTAGTAGCAGTAGTGGTAGTAGCAGTAGCAGTAGTAGTAGCAGTAGTAGTAGCAGAAGTACTAGTAGAAGTAGTAGTAGTAGTAGTAATAATAATAATAGTAATTGCTAGTGCTGGTACAAGTACTCGTGCCAGGACTGGTTGAGAGATCATTTATGCTGACCTAGTGGCGATGGTAGAGCGAAGTAGTTGTGGGAAGAAATCTGGGAGGATATTGCATTTGCATCTGCGCGGCATCCCTCCTCCGTCATACTTGAAAATGGAGGAGATGAGACACTTCCATACAGGGATTCAGTGCAACGTCACGCTTTCTGCTGCATAGCAGCGAAGTAGTCAATGCTTTCGCAAGCTTTTCCAATCCGAGCACCAGGCGCATTATGGAGCCGTTTCCAGCATCCTGGCAAGATGCTTTGCGTCCCGGAGCTGCTGCAACTTCACTTCAATGTTTGATTATGTGGACTGGGTCTGCTGTTTTCGTGTGTACATAACCATGGATTACTATGCGGAGTGATGCGAAGTGTATAAGTACAGAACATACATGCATTTGTTGCTTTATCAACCCCTGCGTTCATTCGTTCACACAACCCACATATGATCATATGTGCATGTGACATGTGCGTGGCGTGGGTACCTGGGGCCAAACCGGAATCCTGGGAATCGAACTTCAGACTGTCGTCTACTGAGATTCTGCGCGCCTCTCGGTTTGATTCGAACCGCGGCGACGGGCCTGTATGCATTCAATGAAGACTCTCGGCACTTGAAAGACTTTGGTGTGGAAAGAGGGCCGACACCATAACAAAAACTACTAGTCCCGCGAAGAAATCCTCCCGATCTGGGTGAAAGGCTGGAGTCCATCACGTCCTGTGTCAAGGACGATGCCGACATCACTCCGAATGAACCGTATCTTGTCATATTGAGTCTATTGCAGATGCAGGTCCTTGAGCGAAACTGCCACGTTCCCTCCAAGGCCCACAGAGTTTCTGCGCTCTGGGTCCTAGCCATGGCGAGCTTTAAGCATCGCATAGCGACAGCGGTACCAGGAGCTGAGAAGGGGACTCGACGGAATGCGTTGTTGTAGCCACGGTGCCACCAGTTCCAGAAGCGCACGCGAATGTCGGCCCCGTCATATCCTCGAAGACATCTTCGAGCTCCCAAAACTGCTTTAAGCAGTTTGTGTGCAACCTGGCGCTTGGCTTTTCGGCGGGCCTCGGCACACCAGCAGGGAATCTGCCAAGCAGAGCCCCATGGAGGTGTCGTCTGTCCACCTGGGCAAAGAGCGAGGCTCTGCAAATCCGAGAAGAACATTTGGGCGCGAGCTGGCCAGGCTTCAGCTTGAACTTGTTGAAGCTCCCCTCCACCTACAAGCCACAGCAATCGCATGAACTCCTCGCCGACAGTTGATGGAACCTCTCTTCGTCTTTCCTGAAATTACGGTCCAAGCCCGCAGACAACCGGTCAACCAAGCAGACCAGAACTAACCACCAGTGACTCCGTGCAGCCGCGGAGAAGCACGTAAGTCTCTCGCTCTTGCTGGGGCTGGCTGGGTTTGCTGGTGGGGCTGTGGGCTGCCGGCTGGGGCCGGGGCTGTGGGCGAGTTTCTTCTTGGAATTTGGGGCTGGGGGCCTGGCTGGTGTTGGAACCTGATTTTGGGGCTGGGCTGTGCTCTTTTTTGGAACCTGATTTTGAATTTGGCTGGGGAGGGGCTGGGGCTGGGGCCTGGGGCCTGGGGCTGGGGCCTGGGGCCTGGGGCCTGGGGCCTGGGGCCTGGGGCCTGGGGCCTGGGGCTGGGGCCTGGGGCTGGGGCCTGACGGTTTCGTGGGTTCAAGGTGAACAATGAGCAATTTCTATTTATTTCTTTCTTGAGGGTTTAGGGCTTCGGGGTCCTTGGATTTAGTTTGGGGTTTTGGGGTTTTGGATTTGGGGTTCAGGATTTAATTGTTTAGGATTTCGGGTTTGGGGGTTTGTCTTGGGCCTGTTTTTTCTTTAGTTTTTTTGGCTGCTTCCTGCTCCCTGCCCGCTGCCCTCTGCCCCCCAGCTGCTGCTTGCCCGCTGCCCTGCCCATATCTTTGCCGGATTTCGGGCAGCCCACAAGCTGTTGAACTAGCTGCTCTCATATTTCTGCCAGCGAAAATCGCGACATCTTGCGCCGATCAACATACAATTTTTATGTTATAATTTGTTTGAGTTTAGGGTTTCGGGTTTAGGGGCTTTGGATTTGGGGTTTAAGGGCTTTTGGATTTAGGGTTTGGGTTTAGGGGTTCAGGATTTAGGGCTCAGGGGTTCTCTAGATTATGTGAATTACATGAACCGCACAGAAAGGAGCGGACATTTTCTTTTTTCCGCAGAGAGTGCTGAAGAACTGCGATGCGTTCGAGGCAGAGCTTTGTCTGGGCAAGGCGATGCCGGGAAGCTATCCCCCCAGGGCGTGGAAGGTGGGTTTAGAGCAAAAATTCAACCACGCAAAGCGGTGCTGTGCGCGGGTCAAAAAGGAGAGGCGGAGCTAGCTGCAGTAGCTCGTCTTTAGCCCAAATCCAGACTAAAGCTGGGCGATGTCCAACTAAATTAAATGCACTGCATTGTGTTGCTGTGCAGAAGTTGTGCGACGCAAGGACGCGGAGCTAACCACGCGGAGCGTCCTAATGCAGTGAGGGGTCAGCATTTTAACAAAACTGTGCCAAAAGTGGCTGTCTAGCCTGAGCAGTGGGAAGCAATGCGGTGACGTCTGCAAAGAATCTCTGTCGTGCCAGTGCAATGCCGAGAACGAGAAGCGTAGCAAACGATAACGTACCACATTGAAGCGAGCCGGCAAAGCTATGCGGTGCTGGTCTTTTGTCCTGCTGTGTAAAAAACCACGCCAAGCGTGGAAAAACAGTGCAATTCGGCGAATAGCCCTGAATCCATAGAACAACCAGAGGGCAGCAGGATTCTCCATGGCGCAGAGCGTAGCGGCAAGGCGGTGCTCGGCCTAGTCACTGATTTCTCCTATGATGTCTTCCATGAAGACCCTGCCAGTGTTTTTTTCAATATTGATGGACCCGCAAGTCTCGTTCACTCATGTCCCAACATCGGTCCATGTAGAACTTGATGCCTTTGCAAAGCTGCGCAATGCAGCGGCGGCGCGTCAGGTCGAGGCAGAGCAGAAAGAAACCCGAAAAAGGTACGGATCTAATGCAATGCTCCAAAGATGGCTGTGCTGTGTCCCCCAAGCTTGGGTAGGGGGCATAACCTGGGTGAGAGGTGTAAAGCTTCAACCTGACCTCAACCATGTCAGCTTGGCGCGGCGGTGCACTATGCACGGGGTGCGCTGCAGTGCTAGACGAGGCAGTCGAGGCATCCGGCGGGGCCTGGGATGCGGTGCGAGGCCGCTTAGTGTTACCTTTCCTGGAAGATATGCCTTCAGCGTAGGTATTAAGGCAGTGACGCAAAAAGCAGAAAGCGCTGCGGTGGCAGGCAATGCATTCAATCAAGCTCTTGCAAAAATGTTGCGGGAAGGTCGGCGCATTGCGGCTTACCTTCAAGCGAGGCGATGCGACGCTCGAGGCTCCAGAATGCTCCAGACATAAGCCCAGAGCACCTGAACTCGATGGCTGAGTTCATCAATGCGTTCGTGAATGCGCGTGTCACTCTCTAAGGCTGCATGCGCTAGATCTTGAATCGCCCGTGCCAGCTGTGCGGAGGATGCTGGTTCGGGTTCCATGGCTTGGCTCGGCAGGGCAGAGCTAAGTTCCAAAGCAGAGTGAAGCGTGACGTGAAGTGTAACGATGCGGCGCGCTTCAGGACAGTTGCTTTGAAAAAATGAAGAAGTATGCTTAGCGAAGCAAATGCAGTGTGTTTATGTGTGTATCTAGGTAGGAGCCGATATGCCACGCGGTGCATGTATTAGTCCATACCTAGAAAACACAGCTAATGCAAAATAACAAACACACAGCAAGCTTTGGTGACGTCATGGGTGCTCGCTGGTGTGTGCACACCCATGCAGCTCGTACTTGCGCGTTGCAAACAGCCTACCCCACCGCCCTGGGTTCA